TACCTGGCTCACGGTGGGTTGAAACAACCTCAAACAAAATCAAACCACATTATTTAAGGTCACACTGAAAAATGAATACGCAAACCTCACTGCTGTTTTTCCTCTCTCTGTGGCCCCCTGAGTCTTGTTGTTTCCACTCCCTGTGGGCTTCATCCTGTCTTTCCCAGTCTGTTCTCCCAATAACCAGGGAGGTCAAGGGCAGGAAACAGGGCTTGGCCCCCAGCCCCGCGCTTGGCAGGGCGGGTGGGCTGTGGGCATTCTGGATGCTCACCTGAATCAAGATGGGCAAATGGAGGCAGAAGGAGGTGGGTTCTAAGGACCCTTTGAGTGGCACAGACTCGGCCGCAGCACCGGGACCAGCTGCGGGCCACACTGCCTAATTGCTAGCAGATAACGACTTGGGATTTTAAGTCAACGTCCACTTGCTTCCTGCCCGCTGCTCTGCTGGACTTGAGTGCTTTCATCTCAGGCAGAACACAGGTTGGCGTGCGTAATTGCATGTTTTAAGACTGGAAGGAGAATTTCCCTCTACCGCTGCCCCCAGCCTGCCTCCTACTGCCTTTCCTGGCCTCCCCCAAAGCAGAATTTTATCTGGACTTCAATAAAGTGTGCAATAATGATGATGAAAATGATTTAATAAGGTCATGGACATTATTGCTCTCTAAGGCCAATTGGTTTTCAGTTTTTTTTCCTCTCTGATGTTAAACTAAATGGATCGCTGGGTATGCTATCAGGAGTTTCATTAAAATGCTTTAATAACATAGTCTGTAATCTACCTCCCTTCAGTGATTGACACGTAGGGCCCGGGGATATAAAATTCAGGAAGTGACTATTTACATTCATTACGTACATGCTAATTTTGTGATCTCGGATGCCCATAAGGTTGTCATTTTTTTTCCTTTCTACACACACATACAGAAAGGAAAGTAGTAATACATTTAATATACTGTGGCCAAAACAAAAACTTATTTCCCCTAAGAGTTTTAATTATAGCATTTTGGAAAAGGCCCGAGTTGGAACTTGCAAGTGCAACAAACCACTTGAATAAATGGTCTAAAAAATTAAGTACACATAGAAGGGGGTGATGCACGCTGCCGGTTCAGACTAAACAGTGATTAGCAAGAGGGTCTTAGTGATTTAAACAAGCCATTCGAGGGCGGTTTGCTCCTCGTTTGAGGCCTGGTCCTGATTATAAATGAGAGCTTTTAATTAAGATTAGCAAGGCCCAATTCAAGCTATAATTTGGTCCTTTTCCTTAGCAAATGTCTATGAAAACAAGGCAATTAAGGTTAAATGAGTTGAAGCATTTAAAGAGGATGAAATGCCCCCTCCTCACCCCAGCCTGGCCCTCCAGCAGAATAAGCACAAACAGGCCTGGCTAATGCAGACCAGGAGGTCAGCACATGTTGGCCCGGGCAGCTTCCAAAGACCATCCCCATGAGGCTGGGTGAACTAGGGATTCACAGCATTAGCCAAAGGAGAACAGACAGAGAAAAGGGCATGTGCAAAGGCCCTGGGGTAGGAAGGACCGGACAAATCTCAGGAACCAGGAAAAGACAGAGCTACTGGGACGAGGTTAGGGAGGGAAGGTTTAAAAAACAGCTCCAAGTGGGTGAGCTGAGCACTGGGCTAAGTCTGAGGGGGATCATCGCTAAGGTACAGGATAGGTGACACAATTCTAGCCCCTCATATTCTCAGGACCTATCTCAGATGACCTGGGGGCAGCAGAAAGGGGATAGGTAAGATAGGAAAGGGTCCCATGGCCTCCCCCATCACTCTATAGCTATGGAAACCCCTCTTCATGCCTTCAGGCACGCTGCTAGGGTCCTGCTGTGGCGGTGTGAGATTGGAATCCAGCCCTGCTGCCTGTCAGCTGGGCCACCTGGCTACAGACTGACCTCCAGGACCCAGTTTCCTCTGGCAAACTCTGCCACTGCGCCCAGCCTCCAGCAGTGTCACGTCATCACAAAATCTAGGCGGTGGGGCTCTGAGAAGGAGTGCACACAGGCAACTCACCTGCTGGGGAAGCAGGGAAGGCTTCCCCGAGGAGGGACCTTCGGGACGCCTCCACCCACCTTTTCCCTCCACTCCCTGCCGGATTTAGGGGAGCGGACGGAACAGGTCACAGGCCCTGCGCCGAGGGGCCCACATTCCAGGAGAAAGCCCAGGAAAAGCAGCACGATGGGCTAAAATGGAGGTAGGAACACGCCTGGAGAGGACGATAAACAGGGCCAGGCATCTGCCCGGTGCCCAGCGGAGTGTCTCTCAACTCCGGAGAGGCACGAGTGTACCCCAAGTTATTTCCAATTTAGCCAAGACGCAAATCATCGAAGAGAAACGGAGGTGCCCTCCGTCTCACTCAGAACGGTACCCAGTGTTCTGAGCCCCTCCGTCTGCCGCAGCCAGCCGCCCACAGGGCCAGACTTCCCAGACTCATGGAGGCCACAGCCACACAGCAAGAGGGTCCCCGAGCCACAGTAAGAAACCGTGCCCAGAATGGGGGTGGGCTGGGAGTTTTACTACCAGCAGGAGCTCCAAGGAGATCCAGTTAAGGGCTTCCCGTAACCTGGCCCCACATCCCGTGAAGAACTGTGGGGGGCTGGAAGCTCATCCAGCTGGGACCCCTCTGCATTCCTTGCAGCAGACAGCAGTCTTTGAACTCCGCAGGACAGGGAGCTTGGTCCCTCCAAATCCTAGCCCCTGCAGAGCCCCACACCAGCGCAAGGGCTGCACATGCAAGAGTCCAGGGAAAGAAAATGGGTTTCAGGTACCACAAAAGCGATTGCCTGGGCGGTGCGGTGACTGATGACTGATGTCTGCTGCGGGAGAAAGTGGCAGCGAATCTGACGTCTGCACGAGGGGAAGCTTCGAGTCCCATGAGTTTTTAATTGCATCTTCTGGGGAGGTGGCTCTGTGCGAATGGCACAGATGTCTGTCTCCGCGGGGATACGGGGTATGGATGTACACGGAGGGGCTGTAGAACCGCCTCACTCTACGGTCTGCCTCCCTTCCTGCCATTTTAGGTCCAGGGAATTGTCGGAAAAAGACAAAGCCTCACCCCATACTGAACAGAGTCGTGACAGCCAGTTTAGTGTGATCCACAGCAACATGAAACGAGGTCGGTACCACAATCACTGTCCTCAACACCGCACCAGCACCACCTTCTTTACCATCCATCGCAATCACCACCTTCATCAGCCCCCCGCCGACCTCCGTCTCTGTCAACGTCCTCTTCATCACCATCATCTTCAGCATCACGACCCCCCACACCAAAAACGGCATCATCATCAACATCACCGGCATCCTCATCATCAACATCTCCTTCACTACCATTTTCATCACCACAGTGACAGCAGCTAGTGCCCACGTAGCACAACTCACGCGCCAGGCTACGTCAACATGCTCTAAAGACATTAACCGAGGTCACCCTTCCACTCCATGAGGCAGGTACTAATAGTGTGGTCCATATCACAGATAAGCAAACAGCTGAGCGCCCTGCCTGGGTTACACAGGCAGGATCTAAACCCAAGCAGCCTGACTCCGAAGTCCGTGCTTTAATGCCTCTGCTCGATTGAATAAGGACTGTGTGTTCTCCTCTTGGGGACGGACAGCAGTGGCCACCTATGGATTCAGCGTGGAGAAATGGTCCCACTGCACTGGGGTGCTGCTCCCACCGTGGGCAAGACCGCCACCCTCTCAGTGTCCATGTGCCCACCTATAAACCAAGGAAGTGAACGTTATGCCAGCCCCGCATGTGGCCTGCCGGCTCCCGAGGGTCTTCGCAGTCCTCCAGGGAAGCCCTCTCAGAGCTGGGTACGTGCCCACAGCAGGCAGGGATCCAGGGGTGTCACACGCCCAGCACTTGGCCGCAGGGGGAGCCCTACGAAGGAGCCCGGTAAACAGTGTTGCCCCGACTCCTGCCCCTTGCATCCCCAGCAGGAGGGACTGGCTCCCGCCTTGTTTCCACACGTCACTTTCCTGACACATCTGACACTGAAGAAGGGAGCTGCCGGGGGCAGATAGAAGAAGGGGCTGTTAAGAGTGTAGCTGAGGGGAAACAGAAATCCTGGATTTTAGTTGCTGTGAAAGTTGGGGACCTCTCAAGGACAATGGGACCTCTCAGGAAAGTTCTGGATGAGTGACCCCACCCACGGCCACATCTCCCCTGAGGCCAACCTCTGTACCACATTTTTAGGGTCAGGATGACCACCCAGACCTACAGAGATGAATGTTTTCAAAGGCTCCACACCACTGTGGCTGCTTTTTTGGTGTGTGAGGTACTGGGAATCAAACAGAGTTTTTCCACTGAACTACATCCCCAGCCCCTTCCCCACTAAGTTATTTATTTTGATACAAGGTCTCATGAAGTCATTAAGTTGTCTAGGCAGGTCTCAAACTTGAAATCCTCCTGTCTCAGCCTCCCAGAGTGCTGGGATTTCTGGAGTGTGCCACCGTGCCCGGTGAGACTGCTCTTTTCTCTCTGACTTCTGCCTGCCAGTTTCTAATGCCAGGTGGTCAAATCAGCACTCCAGGTGCAGCAAGCGGAGGCCGGACAGACATACAGACAAATCCAGTATCTGTCCAAGCTCTGGAGCTGGCGACAGAAGACCTGAGCCAGCCTGACGGCTATGTCCAGCTCCTGCGCAGGTCTGTCAGGGGAAGCTACAGGCCATGTGGGGTGGTTTTGTTTGAAGTTAGGGATCCAGGGGGAGTGGATCGGCCCAAGCCTCTACCAACCCCCATATCCAGCTAGGGACAGATATACAAACATAGCATTTAAAGCCTCACCTCAGGTTCTTATAAAAAAAAAAACCAAAAATAACACACAAAAAAATCTAAAACTTGGGTGACAGTCACGCCTGTGACTTCCGCGCTCCGGGGAAGCAGTCTGTGTCCCAGAACAGCCTGCAGCCTCCCTAGAGAAGCAGGAGAGGCCCAGAGAAGCCGGTGCTGTCACCACCCATGGGCAGCTGCAGGCCGTGGGTGGCTGGGGCGCTCACCTTCACACTGCCTCCCTTCCCCCTTGTAGCCCGGCTTGCAGAGGCATTTGTAGGACTTTGGCGTGTTCTGGCAGATGGCGTCGATGTGGCAGTCATCCGTGCCCTCAGAGCACTCGTCCACGTCGGCTGCTCCTGGGGGTGGGGAGACGACAGGTGAGGTGTGGCCGGGAAGGACCAGAGGACGGCTGGACAGGGCAGTTCTCGCAGCCACCCTTGCTCTGATCACCGGGATAACCGATAATGACAGCCGTCACGCAACCATCTGGGCTGGAAGTGGCAACTGGCAGCACCCTTGGGGCAACCACTCTGGACCACTGCACTCCGACTCATTTGTTTCCACACAATGCTGATCCCGCGGGGTGTGGTTATTTTTCCCACTACAGAGATGGCAAAGTGAACTTCAGCAGAAGCCCCTCTGTGTTCTTGGCGCCCCGTGAACATCCTCCTCTGTTCTCGCTCAAGGATTTAGAGCCACAGGGATCCCTGGAGGAATTCAAATCCAGCCCCTCTGGGTTACAGATGGGGAGTGCTGAGCCGAGGCCTCTCCAGGAGGCTCCTGCAGGTGAGCTGAACCTGGAGACAGCGGCAGTACAAGGCTCCATCTGGCTTCCGCACCCCAGCCCGCAGAGGCCGGCAGCGGGACGGGCCCTCAACCGGGCCAACCCAGCACATCCGTGCTTCTGACCCCACCCTCTCTTTCCCTGCTTTCAGATCCCAGCTTCTAGGAACGGCTCTGTCAGAAGGGCCTTAGCAGCAATCCCAGCTCTCTTCTCAGGGTTCTGTGGAGGAACGGGCCCAGGTGTGCGCGGTACTGGTGGACAGAGGCTGGGCCCCACCACAGAACCAGTCACCCCGGAAGCCATGCTACTTCCACCCTGCTATGCGGATAACGTGGCAGACAGACAGAAGGGCCCAGGTGAGCAGTGCCAGGGCAGCGCCGGGGAGAGCCTGGAATCTCCTCATCCCTCTGGCCTCAGGTAAGACCACCTGGTCCCCACGAATGTCCCCTTGAATCCTTCCCCTGTCTGGCACCTGGGCGCTGAACCTGTGAAGGTGCCTCTCCCCCGACCCCCGTGCCTCCTCTTCCTCCCACCCAGCATTCAAGGCTCCAGCTCACCGTCCAGGGAAGAAAGTCACCAAAAGGAACACAGCACACGACTTCCCCACACACAGATGCACATACAGCACGCACCCCAGCGTCACTGGTCAGGGTGGCTGTATGTGCGGGGAGAGCTGTCCTCTACAGCTGCTTAAACCGTGAGGGAACCCCTGGAGCAGCGGCACCCGCGAGACCTGTGCAGGTCTGGCATTGACCCAGGGCTTGGGAATCAGTGGCCAGGGAGGACCAGTCTACATGCTTGGGGCAAGGGTGGGGTTGCTTCTGACAGAGGAGCAGCCAGCGTGTCTGATCACAGGCACAGCTCTTGCTGCTTCCTAAGGCTCAGTGCAGGGAATGGGGGTGGGGGGCAAGAACCTGCCTGGGGCTCTGCAGCCCCTTGGGCACCCCACTCCTAATCTCCCCCTCCACACCTGGGTGGAAGGGGTGTTGGCAAGGGGTGGGTAGGGCTGTCTGCCAACACGCCTCACAGACATGTCCTTAGTGGGGCGTGGGAAGGATTGGGAGACGCAGGTTCTCTGGCCTGGCCTGGGCTGGAGGTCCTCTGTGAGGGCAGCCTGGCCTTCTGTTACAGGCTTACTTTGACTGGTTTGCTTGTGCTGGGGAGGAGCTGCTAGGTTTCCACAGTCCCTGGGCTTTCACGGAAGGGAGAGGGGGGCAGGAGACAGAGCCACACACAGGGACACTTGCAGAAGTGAAGAACCCCAAAGCCTGGAAGAGACACCCACAGAACCAGGTGGGGAGACAGGCAGTGAGGCCACGCTTCTGGAAGATGCACTGGGGAGCAAAGCTCAGCTCCAACCCTGGAACAGTGGAAATGGCCTGGCACCCTTGCCTGGGCATGACTCCTAGGAACAAAACCAGATCCTGACTCCTCCACAACCCCAGGGACCCAGCTTCCCAGACAGGAGGGCACAGGCACCAGCGGGAGGCCCCTGACCCCTCCTAGGAGAAACAGGGAGGAGGCCTCCTGGGGAGAAGGAGAATGTGGCTTCACCTTTGACTTCCAGACAACCGGAGAGCCAAGGGGATGGGGCAGGAGGGGCAGAGTCCCTGTGAAATCCACGGGGCACCCCACACCGTCCCCGATGACAGCTCGCTGGTCCCTCCTGTCCCTTGCCCTCTCTGAGGTCCCCTTCTGTGCTCCTACTTGCTACCTTCCTGGGTCTGTCCGTCTCTCTCCCCACTCTTGTCTGACCGTCTGTTCATTCGCAGGCGTCCTTACCCTCTCTCTCCCTCCCCGCCCTGCACCGCCCCTGCGCCGCCCTCCCGGCCCTTCTGGTCTTTCCCGGGGTCTAGGGTTCCCACCTCTCCTCCTGTCTACCCGCGGCGCGGTCCACCCAAGCTCTTCCTCCCATCTGTCTGTCTCCTTCCCGCTGTCCAGTGCCTCGCTTTCTCCTCTGCTCTCCGGCGTTTCTACTCTCTTCCCTGCCCTCCGCGTCGGTCCTTCCCCGGCGTCTTCCTGCGTCCTTTTGTGTGCTCCCCAGCGCCTCCTTTTCGGTCCGCTGGTCCCCATCTCCCTCCCTCTTTCTTCCCCCTCCCCTCGCCTCCTCTGCCCCTCTCCAGCCTCCTCCCGCCCGCGTCCCTCTCCCCTGGGGGCAGCGCCCCTCGAGGCT